GAATGATAACAATATTATTGCGATTCAGAGACAATTAAAAAATCAAAATGATAGATTTTCTGACCTCAAGACGAAAGTTTCTGAGATAAGCATGCAAGTTTCTGAGATGAGCACGCAAGTTAAGTTAAATCAGGAAAATATAGCTAAATTAGCAAGGGGTAACCATGTGGCTGAAAATAACACCAATACGCAGAATTTCAGTCAAAATAGCATAGGCTGTAACATGACCACAACTGAACAAAATAACCAGGTATCAGTAACCCAACAGTTAGCAGCTGGTCCAAGTACTGACAACACTTATACACCAGGGACATTACAGCAGAGATTATCCTTTCTCAAGAGGAAAAAGAGGGAAACCAGAAAATATGAATCCTTTCGGAGGGAACCAGTTTGGATTTACTAGTCAGGATTATCAGAACTAGTTAGGCCTATATAAAAGATAAGCCTACTAGCCAAATATCAGAGTATTTTTGTGTAGATTCAGATTTTTTTTATAATGTAGATATGAAACTTGTGTGTGATTTTTTGTAATTGATGAAATGTAAAAAGCATAAATATGTATATATTTTTGCACTTTAAGAAATATATTGTGGTATTGAAATTGTTTTTTAATATTTTAGAAAACAGGTGATGTTTTTTTATTAGAAGCTGGAATTTGATGGTCCTATTGGCGTTGTTGTCCTTAATGCAGTAAAGATTGTTTAATACTATTTTGGTGGGAAGCTGCTTTCGGTGGGTGTATATTGGCAGTTGGGATACTTATAAGGAGCCATTTTTGTTTTGGCGGAGATTAAGTTAAGGCTAATATTGGCAGTTAGGATACTTATAAGGAGCCATTTTTGTTTTGGCGGAGATTAAGTTAATGCTAATGATTAGTCTAGATTGCAATATATATTTTGGTTACACCATGGGTATGCTGAGCTATAGTCTACACCATTTTAGATATTTCTCGGGGGAATACTGATGACCATTTTTTATTAGTTGTACTTTTGTACCTATTTTTATACTTATGTTTGTATGGTGCATCAGTATCGAAGATAGTGTATATATTTATACGCGGGGTACCCCTGTGGAATAGAACTTGATAGGACATTTGTTGGCTTATGGTTAGCCTGGTGTTTAGATGAAGTTGAGCTTCATGATGTTTATAATTCCAGCGTCTGATAGAATGAAGAATCTTGGATTGAACTTTAAATGGAGTATACGGTATTAGTGCTGTAACTGGATGCAAAAATAGACTTTTTTATATTTTCGATAATGACACAATGAAGAAAAATGTATATTTTGCCTTTTAAGTATTAACAGGCGCATTAGTTTGTTAAAACAGACATTAGTTTTTATGACATAAACAGGCGCAGTAGTTTGTTGATGTATGGTTAAGTTTAAGTTTTAAGATAGCTGTAATATTTGCTTGTGTTTGGCAAATTAGAGATTTTTTATTTGTATAATAGAGTATTTCGTACATAGCAATATTGTGAAAAGAATTTTTTGAATGTATTGTCAGAATTGACAAGACCATATTTCGAGGACGAAATGTATTCTGGGGAAGGGGCAGTGTTGTAAATGTGTGTATTGGTTATTTCCAAGTCAAGAAATATTGTTATTATTGTATTAAGAGAGTTTATATGAGTTGTCAGAAGTTATTTCTAGTATTTCTAGTATATTGAATGAGTAATTAACGTGCGTTTTACTTTATGTTATTAGATGTATCGATAACGTCATATATGGCGCAAATTTGTCATGTATTATTCAGAACGTTACCGTTGGGTAAATATTGTAATCGTGAACCCAAAAGTGTTCATTTGTGAGCTCTCAACTGGAAGAAATAATATGTCTTGATTGTTTTAGTAACAAAAGTGTATTATTATAAGCATTTTGAGTCGAGGACTTGTATATTTTATGTCAGCGTTTGACGTTATGTTTTTCTTCCTGCGTAGAATATTTACTTCCGGGAATTTCAAATAAATACCAGTGCAACGTCACGTTCGTCAGTCTTTGTTGTGTTTATATTTGGCTTGCAGCAAGGCTCAGCCCGGGGGTTCCTAGAGGTGAGAAGCAGCGCATTTAGCTGTATGCCTCGCAGTTTATATTACAAGTAAGGGTCGTAGTTTACAGGTAAGAAGCAGCGCAGATAGCTGTATGCCTTGCATTTATTTATGTTGTCATTGTAGAATTTATTAAGATAATCCCGTTTGGTCCGTACAAAAATACAAGAGAAAGAATGTTATTTTAGAAGCTCCGCCACGTATGTAAATTATATAATTGTTGCTCGAATATTGTACATGTATGGAAATATATCGGCTGTTCTAGAAGTTTAATAAAAGTATCATTTTCTACTATTGATTATTTATTCACGCTACCAATGATGAGAGAGAACAGACAACAGATTTGACGGCGTATTTATTCTCCCGTGTAGTCACAAGTTTTGTGAGTTTATTCGTATTTGCTGGCTTTAAAACTATACAAAAACATAGCAAGAAGCAGAAATTACGACAGTACTCATTATACAGTAGTACCGTGATGGCCCTCAGTATTCAGTATTATCACATATTTTGTACTGATATGTACGTTTTTGCATGGCCAATAATAGCCGGAAGTCAAGGTTGGTTATCAGCCCTCGGGGCCAATATCGATATCAGCCCTTGAAATCCATATCGAGCCCCCGAGTTTAACTTCCGGTAACATGTCAATCAAAAACTATTTGTAAACAAGTTGTCATCCGAAGCAGTTAGACGATCAGGAGAGGTTTCTCACAGATCAAATGACGATGTATGTAAATTCATACAAGAAATGAAAAATGAGAACACAATGAAAAGAAATTTAGAAATTTACGAATCTGCTGTAGTAGAAAAAATGTAAAAAATCAACAGTGGAAATCACAAAAGTTCCCGTAAAATTTGGACGTCATAAAGAATTTAGAAAATATATGACGTCACAATGAAAAAGCGATTGTTGTATGACATCGAAAGTTCAAGCGGAACATATTTCCAAATCATAGTAGCGATATGGTGTATTCTTCGTCAGCATTAATTGGAAATGCAACACTTTTTAAAGTCGTTTAATATTTACAATTCTGGGAATTAATATATTTATTGTTAATTATTTGTTAAACTTTTCACAAAACTTTGTTTACTCACTGGGATTCGAACTTTGTTAACTCACTGTGATACATTTTTTAAATTTTTTTCGTTAAATGTTTTTTTTAATTTTTGTTGAAAATATCAAACATAATTTGGTATATGCTATCTTTTTTCTCTTGCTTGAAAATATGTGATAAATAGATTATTACAGGTCATTTTCCATATGGTCCGTGGTATCAGCCCACGACCCATATCAAGCCCTCGGGCTAAAGCCCTCTGGCTTGATATGGGAGTCTAGGGCTGATACCAGGGCCAATATGGAAAATGCCATGTAATAATCTATAAGTACATTATCTGTGATGGTACTCATTATACAGTAGTACCGTGATGGCCCTCAGTATTCAGTAGTACATTATCTGTGATGGTACTCATTATACAGTAATACCGTGATGGCCCTCAGTATTCAGTAGTACGTTATCTGTGATAGTACTCATTATGCAGTAGTACCGTGATGGCCCTCAGTATTCAGTAGTACGTTATCTGTGATAGTACTCATTATGCAGTAGTACCGTGATGGCCCTCATGATTCAGTAGTACATTATCTGTGATGGTACTCATTATACAGTAGTACCGTGATGGCCCTCAGTATTCAGTAGTACATTATCTGTGATGGTACTCATTATACAGTAGTACCGTGATGGCCCTCAGTATTCAGTAGTACATTATCTGTGATGGTACTCATTATACAGTAGTACCGTGATGGCCCTCAGTATTCAGAAGTACGTTATCTGTGATGGTACTCATTATGCAGTAGTATCGTGATGGCCCTCATGATTCAGTAGTACATTATCTGTGATGGTACTCATTATACAGTAGTACCGTGATGGCCCTCAGTATTCAGTAGTACGTTATCTTTGATGGTACTCTATACAGTAGTACCGTGATTGCCCTCAGGATTCAGTAGTACATGATCTGTGGTGGTACTCATTATACAGTAGTACCGTGATGGCCCTCAGTATTCAGTAGTACGTTATCTGTGGTGGTACTCATTATACAGTAGTACCGTGATGGCCCTCATGATTCAGTAGTACATTATCTGTGATGGTACTCATTATACAGTAGTACCGTGATGGCCCTCATGATTCAGTTGTACATTATCTGTGATGGTACTCATTATACAGTAGTACCGTGATGGCCCTCAGTATTCAGTAGTACATTTACTATGATTTTATTCAGTAAACAGTTGTACCATGGACGCACTCAGTATTCAGTATTCCATTAATTGTGATAGTCTTCAGCTATACAATAGCACCGTGAAGAACAAAGTATTCAGTAGTGCATCATCTGTGAAGATATTTGAATAAAAGATCATTGCGATAACACTCAATTTTCAGTTGTAGCGTGGTGGTATTCAGTAGTCAGTTGCATCATAAATGTAGTTATTACCCAGTAATACCGTGGTAACTGTATTCGGGAATATCGGAATGAGTCTCACTAAGTATTCAGATGTATTTTTGTTTTTGTTCTCCAAGACTTAGTAGTCTCACGATGGTTCACGTTCTTTATAAGTACTATGGCTTCACTCATTATTTAAAACTATACGATGGAGGTATTCAACATTCATAAATAATTAAGCGCCACAGTGAGTAGAATCATGGTTGATATCAGTAATCGGTTAGGCAGTGATCATATTCAGTATCTAATCGTACATCGGTAGCACTCTCTACCGAGAAAAACCGTAAAAGTTCAAACAATTAAAGTGATATTCGGTTTTCCAAAGAATTATGATAGTATCGACATTCTCCCAAAAATAATAACATTTAATTTTCGATACACCAACAACTATACTAAATAACCACTAAAATTTAGAAATTTAATGTATTACCTTTTTCATCTGAAAATGTAATTTTCAAGGTCTTTACTAAGAAGTCAACATTCTGAAATTTGAGACAAAACAGCAATGTTAAGGGGACGACCATTTGATATTTGAGGGGGGGATCGATAGGATTTTTTTGCTGTATTATGCAAAATGGATTAAACATACATATATATATTATATATAAAGACAAACCAGTAGTCCGGCATGATACTAATTGGAACTTATGAAATGCCACAGAGGAAGTACGAATTCTTGCACAGGTAAGACATCTTAATAAAATAGAATTTCAAACGAAAAATAGTAACAATTTTGTAATTCAAAGTAACCCAAATATGCACAGGTGATCAAATTAATATACACGATGCCTGACTGACAAATAACCAAGGAATAACTGTCGCACTTAGCGTTGACAAACTGACCATATTACAATGATAATATACTTCCTTTTTAATCTTTGTCATTATTTTGTCTGCATTTTTCTGAATTATTACTATGTTAACATGTCAGAATATTCATAATGTTGATTAGATGCGTTTATCTGAATTTTTCTCAAGTTAATTATCTATAATGTTTAAAAAATATTTATAATGTTGATAAGATACGCATTACTTTATCGGGCAATAATATATACGAGATAGTAAAACAAGCTAGGGTCACATGTAAACAAATATTGAATTGGCTGTTAACAGGAATACAAGTTCAATCAGAAAGAGAAAAAACTATTACTGGACTAATTAGAATACGTGTCATCGATCAGAAAGCAATAGTGTTTTACGGGAAAATCAATCAATAAGTAACGCAGCAATGCAACGTACAGTCATTATGACGAATATCGTAGATATTGAAAATGTAATCGCACGAGACAGAATCACATGCAATTTGCAGACGATCAAATTACAGATCATGGTTTGACTGCAGCCTCTGTGTGCAACTACAACGAATTTATCTGAGAGTAAATGGCTATCTTTTTCAAAGTTTGGCTATCTATTCGCAGAAAAGAAGACGAGAAACCTATCTACCAAAAGCAGGACGGACAAAGATTTACACAACCTCATACAACTAAATTGAACGTTAATTCGACGTATGCAGTTAAAGTTGTGATTCGGCCACCCGAAAAACTGAAGTAAGTCTTTAATTTCATACTTAACTCATTCACATATTTTACTTTATATCTGTTTTATTTGTAAATATTAATTTTTTTAAGGATTTGTTAAAATCAATAAACTGGTTAAAATATGCTGATGACAGTGTTTGATATCACACATGCACCCATTGATCATTTTATCTACATATACAAGTATTAATATCACACATATTAAACACAAATTGACCATTTTATCTACATGTACAAGTATTCAACTTATAATGCTTATCATCTATTTTTATCTCGCTTAGAAAAGTGTCAATGTTTTGTTTTTACATTTGAACCTTCCTGATTCTGTAAACTGACCGAAAATTAAAAAAAAAAAACCCACATATTCATCAGTCTAATACAAAAATGAATGTATTTTCCACAGCAATTGATCTTCTAATATTGATCAAGTGACTTGAATAGATTTCTTTTTAAGGTATTTATAATCATTATTTCTAATTATATCAACTGAATGTCATTAAATTAATTTACAGTGATGTCATAAGACTGTCTGGCATGTTCATTTCACAAATATTTGTGTATGTTGTGACTTATAGCTAATTGACTTTCTATATATCGTTAATTTTATAATTGATAGTCTCTAATGACATAACTATTGTATGATCAGTGACTATTTGTGATAGTTCTGTATCTCTATCTGCCTGAATGCATTATTGATACTGGCTTTAATACAACAGTAGGGAGAGTGCGCGCACTAGAGTCTTCTTGGTGGTTCCAATCGATCACTGTTTGCACAAAGAATGAGTTTAAATATTGAGGTGTTTTGCTGGTTGGAATGTCAAAACACTTTGTATAGTTCTTTAATTGTTTTTCAACAATATTCTTCGAATGGTAATTTTTGAACTTGATTGCAGTAATTGTTCTCTTTGGACGTGCTTTCTGGAGGTGTTCTTCGTCTGGTTCTATAGCAGGAACTAGGGGCTCTTATCACAAAAAATCATATGATAAAAATTGATCGTAAGTTATACTGAAATGTTTGTGACTTACGAGTATTTATTTTCTAGTAAGAATTTTTGTGAAATAAGACTCAGCCCATCAGTCACTTAGTACAAAACATGTTAGTGTTTGGCTAGAGCGTCTTGTCTGTCTTGGGTTCATTACAAATTAAAGCTGAGACGATGTAATTTAAGATAAGGACGAGAAATAGTTAATTAGGATAAATAAGGTATGCACAAAGTGGTCTATAACTCCTTGAAATTGTGGTACGTTAGCTTTTACAAAAAGATAAAAAAAAAAAGTGTTCTGATCCAATAGATTCTGCTAAAAATACCAGAGGTATTGCATGTTTTGATTCTCGTTATTTCTGTCATTACAATAGGGAACTCGTCATACAGGGAGAAAGCATTGAACTCGAAGAGTTGACAACAGAAGATGAAGACTGTATTACATACTCATCTCATTTTAACACGTCCGGATACGATCTGAGCAGACGACAAAAGAGGAAGGAAGTACCTCTATTATTTCTGGTAATTAATCGTTATGCTTTACGTATATCGTCAAGCCTAGCAGAGTTATACATTGTCTTTCCGTATTTTCGTGAAATGTAAGTTCATGATGGTGTCCTAAAGGGGTAGGGGGTGAACAAATGGAGCTTGCAAATGAAAAAAATAATGCTTTACAATTTGTTGTTTGCTCTTGCTACACGAAATTATTTTGTTAATTCTTATCCTCGATGAAAAATGTACGAGGGACCTATAGAATTTTATTTTAATTTTAACATTTAAAACTATTTTTTTATTATTGTTTTTTTTTTTATTGTTAAGAATTTTCAATGTTTATTTAAATAGTAAAATGATAAATGATCCTAAAGAAAAATAAGTAAAGAAAGATAAGATGACAGTCTTAGTTAAATTGATTTTATGTGACCTTATATAAAGGACATTTCAAGGAGACGCTTTTATTTAAATTAATTTGCAACACTAAAGAATTATTACAGTATAACATTTCTTTGCAGTTTGAAGGACATACTTTAATTGCGACTTTACAGTGCAAGTTTTACAAGGAGAACGAGGTCGAACATTGTCACTGGGGACATACCTTGACATGGCTAGAGTATGAATGTAAAGTTGAAGACGGATCGAGTCACGTTGACGTTTTGAAAGAAAAATATTTGTAGTTACATTTGAACGCTACTTTACAGACATATAATGCTATGCTGTATACATTCTTTCAAGGAATCAAGGCTTTAACATCTAAGCAGTGGAACCGGGAAAATGTGATACCCAGCCAGTAACTTTGTAATATATACATTCCACGTACGTGTTGTGTTACTGGAGTTGCATTTGCATAAAAGGAGGCTTGTTTACATTATTTACATTGAACACAGGGTATATTCCTACAAGTATACATTAGTTATCAGTGCGGACATAAGTATCTTTTACAGAAGTGCGTTCTGGACACATTTAAAACAATACGACGCCTCGTCACCAGAAGACATAGGAAATACTTTTTTTTGTTCAATTTTTATATTTGAATATAACTGCATTCTATGCATGAAATTATTCTCTTTTAATATCATTCCATACATTCCAGTCGTTGGATGTGTTTATATTAGCTCACTTGGACAAAAGGGTTTTATGTGATATTCTCATCACTTGGCAGTCGTTATCTGTCGTCCGTCTGTAAATTTTTTCCCCCAAATTCTTTCTCTTAAACCAATTGGACAATGGAAACAAAACTTGGTCAAAATCACCCATATAGTTTATATGTTTAACACCTATACCTGGATTTCCAGCTGAGCAACCAACATGGCCGACGTTACTAAAATAGCACATAAGCTGTAAAACAGTCAAAATGGTAAATGTTTATGGCTTTCATTATATAATTTTTTATCTGATTTTCAATTCACAGTTATCATTTAAATTGAGAATATTTTTCGCACTGTCCTACTTTTGACCTATTTACGGCCCTTAGACTTTATAACTAACACTTCATAGAAAACTCAAAAGTTTCAGCCTTTGATTCAATTATTAATCTGATATTTGGTTTATTATTGTTTAAAACGAGTAACAGATCATACATGAGTTTCATTCTGGTTGACTCGTTTGATGGAGTTATAAACTTTTTACTTAGAATCTCCCACATCAAAAAAAGTTTTCTTCTCCGCTTTCACTCCGCGGCATTCTTTGTAGATATGAAGGCGACATTTGGTTTAAAAAATTCATCAATTCTAAGTTTCAAAGGGGATTTTCCGTATTTTGAAGGGCTTATTGACTGCCAGAAAAATATAATAAGTCAACATCATGCATAGATACCAGACGAGCAATACAGGATCCATGGAGCCTTTAGTTATGTTTATCTTTATAATACTGCTGCCGATGCTATATCCTCTCTAGTGAATAGTGGATGTATTCCACAAATCCCATTCGTAAAGTTAGAACATGCAAATCTAAGAAGATACAAGCATTATATCGACAGTTGCAAAACCCGATTTCTCATTCATTTTGCAATTATAAAAGTTGGAAAACGTGAAACTCCCAAAAATCCCAGATGTGTTTAAAATCCTAAAAATTTTAAATATGTTATTTGGAATATTAAAAATATCATGTTTGATTTTTGTTATGGTGAACATACATTTAGTATACATTGTATTCCTAACTATGGACTTGGGTAGTTCATTGAAATTATCCTTTTCGTCAATTCTAGGCCTTTTTCTAGGGCGAAACGCTCCTCTGTACATATAACGAACGTCTTCCTACCTTCCTATTTATGCATGATATATTGTTTATTATTTCGTATCATATTTATATCAGACTTATTGCGGAAATGAGATTCAAAAATTATGTATCACACTTATTAGTTTTTATCAAAGAACCTAATTGTCGTTGGTACAAAATAACTAACATTAGTATACTGATTCATAATAAGGAATTTACTTAAAACTCCCATGGCATAACTAGTAAAATTTCTCCTCCAAAACCAACGGATTATTGAACTAAAACCTAAATTACTGATTATCACATCGATCTAGCTAATCAGTGTGTTTCTCGATCCAATGGTCTTACATTTTTTATTCTTGTAACATTAAGTTAATTATTTTCAGCAAGGTTACACAGGTATACATTAAAAAAGGTCCAAAAGTGGTATCATTAAGTTACACAGGTATACATTAAAAAAGGTCCAAAAGTGGTATCATTAAGGCAAATAAAGGGACAGCAAATAGGCTATGTTAGGTGTTTTGTAACATTATGCATATATATAACATAATGTATAGAATGTCCGTAAAACCTGTGGAAAACTTCCTAAAAATTATCTTTTTCAAAACCTAGTCAATATATATAAACGAAATGGATATGTTATTGTCAGAATTATTTCCTGGCGTTCTAGTCATTTACACATATATGGTTTGATATCAGTCCCGTCTCATGAGCGATGACATAGAGCCAGATTGACTGGCTCAAAATTTATGTGACTGGCATTTATAAAGTCAAAATTATTATCGTCTACGATAGGTTGGATATACGATGAACTGCAAATATATAACATCTCCAAGCTACTATACATCATGGTCTTTGTAACATTATTAAGCATTACCTGAGTAAAAATATATATTGTATAGCCTAGCTAATCGAGTGGTCTAGGCTTACGTTTCCTACCATGATTTCCTCAATAAAATGAAGCTATTCAATAATAAGGATTCTTAATGGTCGAGTGAAATTATCTTTTCGAGAAAGTTTTACGGTCGTAATTATATTTTGGTTGACCGTAATGTAATATGTGTCGCACATATTACCACGGATATGTTCCACCTGAGGTAGTCACAACTCCGTCTTTTCCTCGATTGTGACAATCCCGGAGTATTACATGCTATGAGCAACACGTTTTTGATGTGGTAATACTACTCAATCTTTGTGTAGTGTTGTATAGACTGTTAATTGTCTGTTTGGTGTTTTTTCTTTTGGCCAGGTTGTTGTCTGCATTTCCCCAGCTTATGCTTTTTGGTTGGCCTCTTTGTATTATCTTTTCTGTGTATTATTTGCTTTAGATAATTTAATTCAGACAGACTGGCTTGTAAATATCTCGGTGTCCACCTTGTGTATGCCTTGAGTTCAAGAAATGTCTGCATCATGTGATTTTGAAAGCAAGATATATGTCCAGACCACATTAGTTTGGCATCTTTTCTCAAAGGTAAATGGTAAATGAACTGGAAACATATTTTTATAATCAACCAAACACGTACTGACTATTCCCGTTTAAATGGTTTTACACTAGTAATTTTTGGGGCCCTTTATAGCTTACTGTTCGGTGTGAGCCAAGGCTCCGTGTTGAAGACCGTACTGTGACCTATAATGGTTTACTTTTATAAATTTTGACTTGGATGGAGAGTTGTCTCATTGGCACTCATACCACATCTTCTTCTATCTATTAAGTGGATTTTTTTGCCCATAAGCCATTGGTGATAAAAACTTATTATTATGCTTGACTGGTAGTGTTGGCCAATAAGTCTCTGGTGATAAACTCTTATGACTATGCTTAACTGGTAGTGTTTGCCAATAAGTCTCTGGCGATAAACACTTATTACAATGCTTAACTGGTAGTGTTGGCCAATAAGTCTCTGGTGATAAGCACATTCTGACAATGCTTAACTGGAAGTGTTTGCCAATAAGCACAACAGAGGACACCAAGTGAAGGAGATAACTCACACTGGACCTATAGGCAGAGCAGAGGACACCAAGCGATGGCAATAACTCACATTGACCCAATAGGCTGACCCACAGAGGACACCAAGTCATTATAATAACTGACACTGACCCTATAGGCAGATCAACAGAGGACATCAATAAAAGTTAATATCTGACACTGGACAGAGGACATCAAGTTGTGGCAATAACTCACTCTGGCCCTATATGCAGACCAACAGAGGACACAAAGTGATGGCAATAACTCACACTGACCCTATAATCAGACCAACAGAGAGATCAAATAATGTCAATAACTGACACTGACCCTATTACTGATTTTATAACTCTAGTCAACCCGAGTTGGACGAATTGAAGTAGGCCTATGAAATTGTACAAGGTTCCATACCACAAAAGGAAGGTTAAGGAATGATTTTGGGGGTCATTGTTTAGGAATCTGGGGCCATTAACAAAGCATTTTTCTTGTTTCAGGACAATAAATTGTGTATAAGTGTATGGATCTCTATGAAATTGCACAAGGTTCCATATACCTCAGAAGGAAGGTTGGGATTGATTTTAGGGGTTATGGCTGGAACCCTTTAGGAATTAGGGGCCAAAAACAAAGGATTTTCTGCTTTGGGACAAGAACTTGAGTATAAGTCTATGGATCTCTATGAAATTGTACCACAAGGTTCCATACCAAAAAAGGAACGTAGGGATTGATTTTGGTGGTTATGGCCCCTTACTGTTTAGGAATAAGGGGCCAAAAAAACAATACTTTTCTAATGCTTTGCATACATTGCTTATTTCTTGACCAATTTGAATGGTGTTTAATTCAAAGTCTTGAGTTCTTGAGGTTCTTTAACATGCTGAATCTAACTGTGTGTTAAGATTTTGGATCCCATTTTTAAATTGGTCCACATTGAGGGCCAAAGGGTCCAAAAATAACTTGGTTTGATTTCGACAAAAATTGAATTTTAAGAGTGCTTTGATATGCTGAAAACTAACCATGTATTTGAATTTTGGATTTTGGGCCTCTTTATAAAATTGGTCCACATTGAGGTCCAAAGGGTCTAAAATTTAACTTTGTTTGATTTCATCAAAAATGAATTTTTGGGGTTCTTTAATATGCTGTATCATGTATTAAGATTTTGGATTTGAACCATAATATGAAAATGTCCAATTTCAAATTTTTAAGTTCTTAGACCACGTTCATTCTGTAGTAGAAAACTAGGCTGTGTCAAATATGTCATCAAAATCCAAATTCAGAGCTGTATCAAGCTTGAATGTTGTGTTCATACTTTCTCCAACGGTTCGACCTCTGCAGTCGTATCAAACTGTGCCCTGCAGAGCATTTTATTTGCTGTATAATAATCATTATTCCTGCACATTCCTTTATAAAACAAAATTATCTTGAATTATCTACCATTTTAAAGCAAAGTTATGAAATTTTCTGAAGATGATGATGGATGGCTGTTTAACGTTCAGTGGCAACATAAATGCATATTCAGGATGAAAACATATTATTATATATATATTAATATAAACCCTTCTTTGTACAAGACCCCATGCTGAGCAAAATTTTCAATGTGCTAGTTCACAAGGTAACAGTCCTCAGGAAGAATTGTCACCCTACCAGGACACATTATTCTGACTGAGACAACAGTCTTTGCTCTTACTCTTTAAAAATGCCATGTGTTTAACAGAAAAAACAGCCAATACCAAGTCCTTGGTTTGCAAAGGTTTGGATTTGATCCCACCACTTCCTGCGCTGTATTTGTAGAAGAGTTGTTCATATTCATTTTCTTCTTAAACATCTGTTCTTAAAGCATTTCTAAAGAGTTATGGTCTCATATATTATTTTTTAAAAATCTATCATTTAG